AGAATCTTGCAGGCGATTGTCCTGGGACCTGGCACAGCTGTGACTGGCTGCAGGAGGAGGTAGAGACACCAGCCCTCTGTTCAGACCGCAGGAGCCTGTGTCGGAGGGAATCCTTTTAGGGCAGCAGCCCACAGATTGGAGTCTCAGGAGCCTGAAGGGTGTGACTCCCTGTGCTGCCAGGACATGACTTGAAGGATGCCAAATGGCCCCTTCTGATGAGCGGGTGCTCATGCCCCTCGGAGTTGCCAGGATGGGGAGTCAATGAGGGCTGCATGCCAGGCACTGATCTCAGCTCCCGAGCCCGAGTGAAGGCTGCTTCCCTGGCTTTCTTGCTGACCATCAGGAAGGCGGGTCACTTTATAAGGTTGACCATGTGGCACCTGGTATCCTGGGGGCCTGAGGGACAGGACAGGCATGTCAATAGGGTATAAGCCAGGCAGGCTCCCAGGCTTTAGAGAGCAAAGGGAATAAAAACCAGCTTTCCCACTTCACAATTTACCAAGTCCCTGTGTTGTCCTCATGTGCCCTTGATGTGGAATTCCGTGTATGGGCTCCCCCAAAAGTGGGGTCAAGGACAGCTGGACAGCTACTTGGGTACAGCCTCTTGAGTGAGGTCTAATTTCCCTATTACAGGCCCAGCAGGGCTGTGTCACACACGCCTGTTGCAAATGATTCCACTGACTTTCTCTTGCCCGATGGGCCGCCTGAGAGAAGGCCACAGTTAGGGTCATTGGAGGAGGAACACTGCCTTGGAGTCCGCTGGACGAAGGGGCCACCACATCTGAATGTGGGAGATTAGAGACAGGCATGTAAATGTCCAGCACGCAATGCACATTTGTTCCCTTCTTGGAGCTTATTTCTGGGTCCCTGCCACCCCATCTGTTGACAATATGGGGGTAATGTTGTCCTGATATCTGGGACTGTGCGGTGGGAGGGAAGTGACATTCTTGGCAAGCCAATTGGCTTTGTTAAAAGAATCCAAGGAAGACTCTAATCCTTCAGTTTCTTCATAAAACAAAAGAATCAGGAAGACTTGGTCTTACTTAAAAACTCAGAAAAATAATAGCACAAGGGGTGTATTTGTTCTAGGTCATTCGAGTCATAAGAGCCAGAGCTGGACAGGCTCTTTGAAGCAGGGGTTGAATTCAAGGGTGAGGGAGACACCTCCCACGGAGAGGGTGAGACAGGCCCATTGTCACCCTGGAGGGCCCCTGGGGAGAGTGGGTTTTGCTCTGTTTCTCCCTCCCCACTTCCCACCGAATCCCCATCTCAGCATGGAAAAGTGGGAAAAGGGCAAGCGAGGCTCCCCCTGCAGGACCCCTTGAAGGCCACGGGGAAGCCATCCATGGCAATGAATTCATGGGGACATGTGACCTCCAGAGAGCCGACTCCCTGGGAGGCATTAGCCACACTCTTAATCGTGCATTTTATTGTTTCCTTGCTGGCACCGCACAGCAAGTCACTTGTGTGACAGAACATTAGAGGCGACAGAGCAAGTTAGAATAAATAGACTGTCCCCTGGCAGCGCCTCCTCTATCAGGGACCAGGACACAAATGTCTTCTGAAGGCCAGAGGAGAAGGGCCCGTGAAACAGACTTGAAAAGATTTCAGCCCTAGATGGTTTGGCTCAGTGGATAGAGCGTTGGCCTGAGGACCAAAGGGTCCAGGTTTGATTCTGGTCAAGGGCACATACCTTGGTTGCAGGCTCCTCCCAGGCCTGGGCCCTGGTAGGGGCTCATGCAAGAGGTAACCAATTGATGTTTCTCACATCGATGTTTCTCTCTGTTTTTTTCCTCTCTCTTTCACTCTCCCTAAAATCAATGAAAAAAATATCCTTGGGTGAGGATTAACAACAACAACAAAAACAAAGAAAGAAAAGATTTCAAGGGAGTTCCCGGGAATGCCTTCAGCCTACCAATCTTAAGCAGCAAGACGCAGGTGTGCAGGAATTGAAAATTCAAATGCGCCCAGTTCTAATCTAGTAGCAAATGTAAGGGACCCATTTAATTTTAGCTGTGACCGAGCTAGCCAAGGAGATTTTAGGGTTGGACATGAGAGCTCCTGCTCGGGAGGAGGCAGTGGGGAGCAGGAGAAAGAGAACCTTGAGATCTGTAGCTCCCCAACAGCTATCAGGTGACCTTGAAGAAGAGGCTGTACGTTCTGTGCATTCTGACTGCCTCAGTCACCTGTCCGTTAGCAACCAGAAACTCAACCACCTCACAAGAGGCAACACACTGTCGAGACTCTGATGGCACTAAGAACCGGAGAGCGGTGTGCCCATAAATGTGAGAGGTAAATACTAGGTAGATCCCCCGTGGGTGTTTCAGATCAGGTGGGAAAAGGGAGGGGAGACTGGCAGTTGTGTCCTTATCTGGAGGAAGTAGCCAGCTCATATTATACGTTAGTAGTTAACAATCTTGGACTGGGCATTTTTATCCTCTTTTTACAAATGAGAAAAATCAGGGTTCAGTAAAGGTGTGAATTCCATGTGGTCATACTATGAGGGAGGACCAGTGCTGAGACTTGAACGTGTGTATTCTAACTCCCCAGGTCAGACCCTCCCGGCCACACCGGGCTGGCTCTGATCAGTGTCCCTGAATCACCGGGCCAGCGTCCAGAGCTCAGGGGTCCTTCCCAGGAACTGCGACCAGCAGACAGTAGAGACAAACACGATCAGGACCCCAGTATCTGTTATTCATTTACAGCCTGTGGGGGAAACTTATTCATTTTCTTTGTCCATCTGTCCATCCATCCACCCATCCACCCATTCATCTGTCTATCCTTCCTTCCGAAGTACATTAGTGTGATAGAAAAAAGAGCAGAATTTTGAGTCAAAAGAAGTGTTTTTTTGTCCCTAAGGCAGGTTTTCTTTCACTTGCATCAGAAACGTGTTATATATGTGATTCCAAGACTTACTGAATTAGATTCTCTGGGGCTACAGCCTGTAACCTATATATTTAACAAGCTTTCTCAGTGACATTGATATACACATAAATATGAGGATTGCAGCTCTAAAGCATTATCCTGACTTCCAGTGTGTCCTGAGCTACTCAGAGAATAGGAAATCAAACATTACTCTGGTTTGATATGGGGACTGCTCTATGGGCTCTGTCCTGGGGGTGGGACTGCCCCTGACTCCCTGTGAAGTGGGTTGTCTGCTGTGCCCTCTTCTATCATCCCTTTTGCCTTCAGTCATATATTTTCCCCTGATTTGGTGACACTCAGAATTGATCCTCTTCTGAAAGCTGTCACATTCTAGAATCCTTGAGCGGGGAGGAGTCGTGGAGATTCAAACCTGGCTCTTCTGACCACAGTCTGTGCTCTTTTTGCACGTACAGCTGCAGCTTAATACGTGCTTGCACAATGAGCCAAAGACTGAATATTTTTTCTAGGCTATTCCAGGCCCAAAAGGTTTGCCTAAAACAAGCTCCTCATGGTCATTGGGAAAACAGATAGTGGGCACGCTAATAATCCTATTGGTTATAATAGTAACTACTGCTGCAGCGTCATTTATTGAACACCTATGTGCCAGGTGCTGTATTAGATGCTTCACTTATGTTATCTCACAATAATCCGGGAGAGTCTGTATTTTTAGCTTCCTGTATAGATGAAGAAATTGAGGCTCAGAAAGCTAAACTGACTTGTTCAAGGTCACAGCTATGAAGTGGCAGAACCAGGATGTAAAGCCATATCTTTTAGTCCCTGAAGCCCATATTCTTTGCAATACTCCAGGGAGACCCTCTTTATGGCTTCATAAGTGTTAATGTGTCAGCTCTCCCAGGAGCTGTGTGGACAGCTTGGCCTCCCCTCACAGGGAGGCTGCCTGGGCTGGTAAGTCCACATGGGAGCCTTGGGAAACGGTGGCAAGGATCCTGCCCAAGCAGGAGCAGCTCTGGGTGCAGCGCCATCATTTCAATGTGAGTGTGCTCTACCCTCACATCCAAAGCGGAATAGGCTGGCGTTCTCTTGCCGATAGACTGCGGGAGCTACTTAAAAAGCACGTACAGTGGAAAGAAATACAAGTGTCCATTTATCTAGTACCTACTACATTATAAAACACTTCCACACGCATGCTCACTAGTCCTCGTGACAGGTTGGAGGGGGGCATTATAGTTGTTCTTAGTTGTTAGATGAGGAGGCCGAGGCTCAGGTATGTAAGTTTCCAAGGTGATGCAGCCAGTGAGTGGAGCCAGGATGCAAACCCAGTTCTTCAGACCTCAAACCCCCCCCTACATCTATGAGAGCCCTGCTTCTCAACGTGAAAATGTAAATGAATCACCCGGGCATCTTGTTAAAGTGCAGATCCTGGTTCAGTAGACCTGGGTTGGGGCCTGGGATTGCTAATAAGCTCTCAGATGATGCCCATGCCGCTGGGCTACAGGCCACACTTTGATCAGTGAAGTTCTTCTAGACCATGGCACCTTGGGGTGGCACTGACTATCCCTATAAGGCTGTGACTCCCTAACGGGTCACACCCCTCCATAGCCCCTCCTAGCTTCTCTGTCTGTCATGTTGTATGGGCTTATTTTTCAGGACAATGGAGATGAGAGCTTAGTAGGAAAGAATTATGGAAGATAAAGAAGACTGCTTCTAGTTTTTATGCCATTTCCTTGTCTGCCATGCCACCTTGCAAGTTCCTTTCAGGGATACCGGAGAACAAAAAGGAAAATCAGAATCCGGCAGGTTCTGGCCTCCACCCTCCTGTGGGTTTTCTACTAGGGAAGTGTGGATGTTGCAAAGGAAAATATTCTGGGCATCTTAGTGGAGAGGAGGCCCCATCTCTTCCCCAGGATATCTTGTGGATACATTTGAATTCAATTAGCATTTACTGAGCACCCACTGTAATAGGAACAACAGTGGGTAGCTAATGAGGGTTTCCTATGTGCCTGGCACTGTTTCATACACTTTCGTCTATTAATTCATTTAATCTCCCAAACAACCCTTAGAATTACGTTGTACTTGTATTTTTATTTTTGTATAGATGAGGAGGCCCAGAGCAATGGATTAACTGGCCGAAAGTCACATGGTTAGTCAGTGGCAGAGCATGGGTTCAGATCCAGACTCCCCGACTCCAGGATCTCAACCCTCCAGCTGCGTGACTTACTCCTGGGCTGGACTGGGAGTGTTCAAAGGAGCATGTGCCACGGAACCGGGAAGCAGGTGATTTGATTGACTGCCATAAGCAACATCCCCCTAATCCTCAAACAACCCTGTGAGGCAGGAGGGGACATTGGAAGCGCTATCTCGTCACCTTTCCCAAGTCTCACAGTTACCAAGCAATGGAGCCAAGGTTCCAACTGAGGAGGGACTGACTCCAAAGCCCATGCTCCACCCTTTACCCCTGGACGACTTTACGGTACCAGCCAGACACACCAGCGGTGAGATGTTCTGATGGGGATGGGGTCCATAGGCCCATGACTCAGATGAGCTAGATGTGTGCACCTGTGTGGGGACGGGATTATGTGATCCTCCAGGCAGCTGATGAGGGGCCCAGATGTTGGCAGCAGGACTCAAGTTTCCGGGTGGTGAGAAAGGCAGGTGGCCTCAGTTGCACTCTCATGTTCTCCATCCCCCTACAGCAAAAATATATATGCAACATTGCAAACTCTGAAGTGCTCTGTGTGTGTTCATAACTTACTGTTTTTAGTGAATGATGTCAGTGTTTGTGTGGTCGGTGGCGGTGGGATCGTGCTGTGGGCATGTGAGTTATCCATAGTGAGGATGGGGCCCAAGTGGACCTCTGAGTTTTAGAGCCTCCATGATTTGTTCTTTCCTCCTGCAAAAGAATAAGCAGAGGTTGTTCATTAAGGCAGTTGCTTATTGAAGATGGCCCATGGGAGACAGAGCCATCTTACCCTTTGGGCAAGGTGATATTCAAAGACTTAATCTCTGGAGGGTGTGGGCTTTGGCCAATTAGAGGTACAGGGCACTGGAGTGCACCAGCGGGATATCTGCCCTGCCTTTGGGCTGAAAGTTTTGCAAAGTTCTATGGAAATGCTTGAGACTTAATAGCAATAACAAAAACCCAAATATTAAAGTTAATAATGTCTTAACTAAATGCTTCTAAATCATAACATTATGTCAATAGCAAGTTGTGGTTGCAAATCAACTCCCAAGTAGTTAGGTATAAATTCTCTTGAAAGTAGGCTATGGGAGGCTTTGACTATGCTTGATCAGCAGGGGAATGGGGTCTCCAGAAGCAAGAGTACCTCGGATTTGCAGAGACCCTACAATCCCCACTGAGGAGGGAGGGATGACTAGAACCAATAGTCACTGTCAAGTCAAATCTCTCCTTTCAAATCCTGTTCCATTTCTTATGTTTTTCTCCTGCATCTTTCCCTGGGTCCCCACCAGGATAAAGGAGGGGTGAGGGTAGGCTGTCAGTGGGGGTAGCAAGATGAGCACTGGCCTGCGCGCTAGGAATCTGTATTCCTCCCTGGATCAATTGTTACTCATTCATGTCATTACTGAGCCAGGCTCTGTGCTAGACCCTGGTCATGTTACTAAGCAGCTGAGTGGCTAGGCAAGTCACTTGGCCCATCTGAACTCAATTTTTCCATCGTAACATGAGGGATTGGACTAGGTGGCATTTCGGGTCCTTTTAGCTGAATACATCCAGGGCCTGTGGTTTAAATCACCGAAGGTCTTCTTGTATCCTTGGGGACATGGGAGCTCTTTATATGTCCAGCTGGGTCCTAGGAGCTGCAGACCCCAGAATCTGGGCCTGAGGATTTCTAGCTGAGGCTGGTGGATGGGCAGGAAGAGCAAGAACTCACCTCGGGGCATTTCTCACACTGAGAGGTCCCTGGCCACACCTGGAGGCTCGGTGTTCTGTCTCTGCAGAGGGGCTGCAACATCTCCCTAGAGCCTGACCAGAGGCCTTTCTCAGGAAGGCCCCTCTGTGGCCCCAAGCTTCCTTTCAGCCCTGGGGCGGCTGCTGGGGAAGGGGAGGGGGGAGGTGTGTCTTGGGGCACTCTCCTAGCACAGCCCCATGAAGACATGAGGAATAGGGCAGTGGGGAATATGGTGGGACAGGAGCTAAAGCAAATACCTGTAATTCGGGAACCCAGGGTCTCCTCAGGCTTGTGAAATAGGTGAAATGAACTTTAATAGCATGTTTTGTTGAATTCAAGATGTCCAAAGATTATCATTTCAACTTGTAATCATATAAAAATTATTGAGATAATGGACATCCTTTTGCTCATAGTAACTCCATCATGTTTGTTACACTTACAGCATATCTCAATTCCAACTAGCCACATTTCTAGGGCTCAGTAGCCACATGTGGCTTGTGGCTGCCATCTTGGATGGTGCTACTCAAGAGCGTTCAGGGGTAAACTCGAGGGAGGTTGTGAACCCCTTAAAATTGGTTGCAAGTGTTTGTTTCTGTGCACATTGTGCATTTTTAAATGAGGGGCTACCTAGCTTTATAAGATTTTTTAAAGCATTAGTGATCCCCAAAGAATTTGTAGAAAAATGTCAAAATTCGCAGAGCTGGATCCTATGATATCATTGGCATTGCAGTGCTGGGTGGACTTCCCACATCCTGGGTGGCTCTGATTCTGGACTGGACTCGGTAGTCTATTCCTGTGTATGTGGATCAAGGAACGTGGCTGACAGATGGATGGGAGGGACAACCATCCTGGGAGAGAGAGGACATTTCTTGATATTTGCAGACCAAGTTTTTTCTTAGATTTATTATAAACTTCCTGTCTCCAAGGAAATGGAGATACTGTTAGATTCTCCAGATAGCAAGGCAAATGTAAAGCAAATAAAGTACCTGGTTGAGAATTGCATGCAGAGGAGTTTTAAATGTTATCTCTCTCTCTCTCTCTTTCTCTGTCTCTCTCTCTCTCTCTCTCTTTCTCTGTCTCTCTCTCTCTCTTTCTCTCTCTCTCTCCCCTCCTTTCCCTCCCCTCACATGAGATGATCAGAAAATAAAGTGACTACTTAGTAACATTGACCTTTTCCTCAGCCCTCAAGGTTGATTTCTTCCTGGATCAACTCTAATCAGAGAGTTTACCCTCTACCAGCGGTTCTCAACCTGTGGGTCGCGACCCCTTTGGCGGTCGAACGACCCTTTCACAGGGGTCGCCTAAGACCATCCTGCATATCAGATATTTACATTACGATTTATAACAGTAGCAACATTACAGTTATGAAGTAGCAACGAACATAATTTTATGGTTGGGTCACAACATGAGGAACTGTATTTAAAGGGCCAGAAGGTTGAGAACCACTGCGAGTCTACCCCATGGATTGTTAACCCGGTGACCATGTGTGGGCTTTATAGTATGCCGCAATGTGCACACTTGTGAGAATTTTTCTGGGGAGAGCATTCAGATTTAATCAAATTGTCAGAGAGGCCCATGACTCTCCATAAGGGACAAACCGCTGGGCCACACCTTCCAATCAGTGAAGATTACAGCTGAGTCTGTGTCTCCCTCCAGCCCTGGAGTGTTTCATGAAATTCCTCCTGGGAACTTAGCAAAAGCAGAGGGTTCTGTGACCTCAGAACCCAGGCTAGACCCACCCCCTGATGGTGTGGCTGAGGTAAGAATCCAGCGGGAACGGGTGGGTGGAAGTGGGTTCTCCTCTTGCATCAAAGGGAAGAGAAAGAACCGGTGATGACTTGACAAAAGGGGAGAGAAGGGGGCACAATAATTAACAAAGCTGAGCTGCATGAATTCATTTATTCATTCAACAGATATGTGAGTGCCTACTGAGTGCCAGGCACTGTTCTAGGCACTGAGGATGCAGCGGTGAACACGATAGGGGGGAAATTCTGGTTATATGGGGCTTACCTCCTGGTTGGGGGAGACATGCACACACAAACAGAATGCCTACCTCTAATGGTGATGCTGAGATGGGCAACCTGGACAACAGTAGCCCTCCCTCTGACAGCTGCTTCTGACCCCAAAAGCTTTGTCCACTGATACAGCACAAACAATCCTCCACTGATGGTCAGTGATCTCTCCAAATGGCTCTGTTTCCCAGAACACTGCCTGCCCTCCCAAGGCTCCGAAGGCATCTTTCTGCACATAAACACCACATTCTTCTCTCTCTCACTTCCTCTCTCACCCTGTCCCATGCAGAATTGCTATTTGTACACGTGTTTCTAGAACCTCTGATGAAGTCGGGGGCAACGGAGGCAAAGAAAACATAGCCTAAGATTTTTAAGGATCCCTCATAAAGTGAGGGGCTTCTGAAGACTTTTAGGATTAAAATATTTCTTTTCCAACTGGCATTTCAGAGTTTGTGATACATTTAGTACAATTGAAGATATCAGAGAAGGCATTCGGAAAGAGGGCTTCTGGTTTGGTGTTTCTAGAAACCGATCTGAAAAATGTGAAGGGATGCTGTGTGGGAAAGTGTGCTCAATGTAAGAACCAAGACCAAGAAGTGGCAGGAAGGCAGTGTCCAGTTCATTGAGAAAGAACTTCCTGAGCAGCCCAACAATGGAGTAGGCTCCTGGGGGGTGGGGATGAGGGGGGGGGGCACATGCTCCCAACTTCCAGCACTAGCAGAGTTCAAACATGGCTGAATGGCCACTTGGGGAATGCTAGAGAGAGATATAGCTGAAGTTATACTAAGAGGAAAATTGATAACTTTAAAAACGTAGAGTATAGGGTTCTACAGCCAGTTGGCCTAGTTAAAATTCCTTTTCTCCCACTCATTAGCTACACATACTTGTGCAAATTAATTTTGTGTCTCAATTTCTACATCTGAAAATGGATGCTATAATAGTATTTACCTCATAGAGTCCTATTATGAGAATTAATTTATACAAGTAGTATATTTAAAACAGTGCCTAGCACATAATGCTATTACTAGACATTGATTAAAATAATTATAATAAAGATCATAACATAAAGCATAGATACTGAAGCCATCTTTAAGGAATGGGCAGCATTGGGCAGCCTCAAGGGCATTTTAGGGTTCTCAGATGGGGAAACTTGGGCAGAGACCTGAACTATGCAAAGATCTGGGAAGAGTGTTTAGTATGAGGGGACAGCCAATGTCAAGGCCCCAAAGCAGGAACCAACTTTGCACAATTGTAAGAAACGTGAGCAAGAGATGAGGTCAGACTCTGACAGAACAGATCCAACAGAGCTTGGCTTTCTATAGGCTGGGGCATGGGATGGGTTTGTTTCACTCAATTATGTGGTCCTTAAGTCAAGACTATCATCTTGGTGGATCAATTTAACCAAATGGGATTCTATGGGATGAGCACTATATTGAGAGTCAGGAGACTGAAAATTAGTTTGGCTCAGCTACTTGTTTGCTGTGTGATCCTAGGCAAGTCCCTTAACTTCTCTGGGCCTTAATTCCTCACCTATAATATTAGAGAAATAGGGTCTCCTTAGGTTTCAAGTTCTTGGTGTTTACAACCAGGCACTATATTTCAGATGCAGGAAACTGGGTTGTTGTATGGGAAAGAAGTAGAAGGAAGAGGAAAGGGAGGGAGAGGAGAATGAGGAGGCAGAGTCCCTTCCAGACTCTAAATTCCTTGCCTCTGTAGACACCCAGCGGAATGGAGCATATGTGAAGGGTTACCAATGCGTGGAAGGAGAGATGGCTAGGAAAAAAACAAGGGCACATCCCTTCCTGCTCAAGGTGCTGCTACACGGCAGTGTCAACAAGTCATCTGGAAAATGAAAGGGGTCAGAAACCCATGTCATCGTGAGAGCATCGGGAAATAAACGAAAGAAGTAATAACAGAGCCAATCAGGATAAACTTGAACATGCTCATGGAGGAATATCTTATAATTACACTAGAGGCCCGGTGCAGGAATTTGTACAAGGGTGGGGCCCCTCTAGCACTGCTGAGCTCAGGAGGGGCCATGCGGCCAGGGCAACTCTGCCGTTTATATGGACAGGGGCAGCGGGTACCTCCCCGGGCACAGCCCTCCGGCTGCCTGGGACCTGCACTGTCTCTAGCTATTGTCCCTCAAGGGCCCACTCTTCTCCTT